AATAAATAATTGTACATAACACTGCTGGGGACCAAGCAAAGGAGAATGATAGATGCCCTCAACAGCTACATCCCATCACCCAGACCCAAGGAGATGACCACTGAGAAGGTCAGACCCTAAACATAGAATTCTGAGGCACACTGTATTACTGGAGCCATCTTAGTATCCAAGCAAATTGGAAATATATTTAGGAAGAATGAAAGGAAGCAATAAGAGACTTGTTCCTTGACTTAACAAACCTTCACCGAGTCCCATCTAGCCCTAAATACCGGTATAAGTAAGTTAGCTTCAACTTAAGGGGCGCATAGAAATGGAAGAGGACAGGTATATAACAGTTACCAGTGTGATACAATGTGATGATCGTGCTATGTAATAATACCACATTCCAGGAGGGAAAGAGCCCAGATAAGGGTAGTTCACCCTGCAGGAGAATGGGTCTGAAAAGGATCATTAGTCTTAATGACTCTTGCTGCCTAGAACAGAGTCCAGCACATAGTAGATGCTCAATAAATATTTGTTGAAGTGTTGAATAGATAAGAAGCCTGTGATAGGCTAGATAATGGTCCCCCAAAATATCCACATCCTAATCCCTGGAACCCGTGACTATCACTTTACTTGGTAAAAGGAATTTTGCAGAGATGATAAAGTTAAGGATTTTGAGATGGGGAGATTATTCTGGATTATCCAGACGTGCCCTAAGTATATCACAAGTGTCCCTGTAAGAGGGAGATCTGACACACAGGCAGACCCGGGGAAGACAATGTGACCACAGAGGCAAAAAGATTGACCACAGAGGCAAAAAGATTGACCACAGAGGCAGAGGAGTGATATGACCACAGGCTAAGAATGTCAGTGGCTACCAGGAGCTGGAAGAGGCAAGGAAAAGGATTCTCCCCTGGAGTCTCCCAAGGAAGCACAGTCCCACTGACACTTGGATTTAGGCCCATAAGACTCAATTCAGATTTCTGGTCTCCAAAACTGTAAGAGGACAACTTTCTGTGGTTTTAAGCCACCAAGTTCGTGGTAATTTGTTACAGCAGCCACAGGTAACTCATACAGCCACTGCTCCAAGAAGAAATTAAGGCCGAGGGAGCTGCAAAACTGTCTGGGCAACGCCAAGTACTTCGGAGAGCCTGGGGAATTTGAGCTGAGGCATCCTAAGATGCAAAAGGAGCTGGAGAAAGATGAGTCTGGCTTGGCTGTACAGGATGGATGGAAGACGGAGAGACCAGAGGCAGGGAACTCTGCCAAGAGGTTCTGGAGGCAGCTCAGCGTGCAAAGGAGATGAGAGCCAGGCCTCGGGGATTAGCAGTGGGGACGAGAGAAGGGGCGGGTACAAAAGAAATTTCAAAGGCAAAATTGATGGAGCTTAGTGAGAGACTGAATATAGCAGATGAAGGAGAAATTTCTTCCAGCTGTTAGAGCCAAGACTGGCAGAGAGGAGGAAATTGGAGCATAGGGGAGACATTTCTAAATGTTTCTAACAATAGCTAGTTCATCTCAAAACTATCCCAGTGCCATGATTTGAGCTACTCGTCCCGTCAAAGAAACAGCTAGGGGATCAACGCTCTTCATGGCTGGCCACCAGTGGCTGGAGGGGCGTGCTATCGCCAGAGCTGCTTGTTACAAAGTATGGAAGAATTCCTTCCAGCCGACCTCCTGATCTCCCCTCAACCTAATGCCACCCAACCCTAGATTTTCAGAGTGGGGGTGGACAGGGGAACGGGATGGAAGGGAAGGAGGGAGGAGGAGAGAAGTGGAGGTGGAAGGGAAAAGTAGAGGAGATGACAAGAGCTCAGGTCAAGCACACCCACAGACATAATCCAGCTGCTGTCTTGCCAGGGGCACTGACTAGGGTCCAAACAAGCCATCAGAATGAGTTTTAAGCCCTCACAGCTCCATCAACAGGGCCCTGGTTCTCACTTGCTGCTCCTTCCATCCCTGAGGACCCTTGAAGTAAACAACCTTTTCACCAGAAATACAAGTGGATTCTGACACACTGGGAGGCTGCAGAGTATGGAGAAGCTGGTGGAAGGAGCAGGCCCTGGCTGGAGGAGAACATCTGATAGAGAACATCCCCTCAAACCGGAACTACCCAGAGCAGGGAGCGGGGCTCAGAAAAGGCAGTGAACCCAGGAAGCTCATCTCCAGAGATCGTGACTACAGCCAGGGAGGATATGAATAATAGCAGGGCTATTATAATAATGGCAGTGCCCCAAGCACTCAGAACCCACTCCCACCCTGTGATCCCCTGACTCCCACTGGGCAATTCTGCAGGTGCGTCAGCTACCTGTCCTGAGCAATTCTCCACTCAAGAAGGCCACGGCTCTCAAGTACCACTTTGTACAGAAGCCGTCAAGGCTCAGTGTTCATCTTGGCTTTGGGGGTGGGGATGGGGGAGGTGGAGAGAGAAAAGAGAGAGAGATTCCTGTGTTTATTTCTATCTTAATTATTGAGCATCTCCTGTGTGTCAGACACCTGTTAGATGCTTAGAATATTCAGTGAATAAAACAGGCCGAGGCCCTGTCCCCATGATGCTTATAAATATTACCAAAAAGCCTTTGAAAATAAGCCTGAGCAGAAACTTGAATCAGAACCAAATCTCCATATTTTCCAAAAGGATTGAACCGGCAAACGTGCAAATGTTCTCTGGACCAAACAAAGATTTCTTTCCATTTGAGTCTTTCTTCTCTTTGGGGGCTCAAGCAACCTACTGGATCACAGAAACTCACATGGCATGTCTCTTCCGACAAAGTCCCCAGAGGAAGTGCTGCCATTACGGAGAAGTCAAGTTAATTGCACTACTCTCCAGCAGTATTACTTTTTCCTTGCCCAAGCCTCTTCACGTGTTCATTCACTCATTTGACAATGATTTATCGAGGGCCCAGCACGTGCCAGGCGTGGACAAAGGGCTGGTAGTCCAGCAGGTGCACACCATCCATTAGCTCTCACTCCCTGCCTTGGCCACTGGGCAGGGCAGGAATGGCAGCCCTGGTCAGACAGTCAGAAAGCTGAAGGTCAGCCCACAGTAAGAACTGGCTCCAAGACCCAGGCTTGGCAAGTGGCAGAGCTGGAAAAATAGTCCCGGACCCCTGGTTCCTACTCTAACAGCTTCTCCCACACTCTACCCAGTTCCATCACTGAGAACCCACCCAGCAGGCTTTTTCACTCCCATTTTACAGACAAAAAATGGAGGCATAAGAAATGTCAGGGCTTCCCTGGTGGCGCAGTGGTTGAGAGTCTGCCTGCCAATGCAGGGGACACGGGTTCGTGCCCCGGTCCAGGGAGATCCCACATGCCGCGGAGAGGCTGGGCCCAAGAAATATCAGAATTTATCCCAAGCTACACAGCTTGCCAGATTGAGGCATGAGTCCTGATCTCATGACTTCAACATTTTCTTTTCTCTTAATGTTGAACTGCTTCTCTTTGTTCCTGGTATCTTGTCCCCCGCCTCCCAAAAAAATCACACACACACACACACACACACACACACACACACACACAACCAAAAAATAATAATAATTAAGTTAAATTAAAAACAGAAATGTCTTTCCTGCTCTCTAGAATCGGGCGGCAGGCAACAGCCAAGCCTCCCGAGAACACTTAGTGATTTCCAGGGGAAATCTGACCATCACTAACATCCAAAGATACTGCAATGTTTTCAATTAGGGGGCTGAGCGCTCTGGCTTCAGAGGCGAGGGAAACAATGCAGAGTGCTCCAGGAGAGGAGGACTGACCTCTCTCAGAACCCGCTCTGTTCCCGGCTAATATGTCAATAGCCTCTTAAATGGAACGTTATGTGTCTGGGATTTTACTGTCAGACTCATCCTTTTTGGGTAGGGTTCAGGATGGTTTTTTTTTTTTTTTAATCTAAAGTTGATTGCCTCTCTCATTATCAAAGCCACCATCCATCTGTTTCCACTTTCTTAAGGGCTGCAGCAAGGAATTGAGCTGGAAATGTGTTTTTACTTGAGGTTTTAGGATTCCCCTCCTCCCGCCTTGTTGAGGGTTGTTCAAGTTTTAATGTTGTCACTGCAATATGATCTTCCAGTAGTGGGTGGCCCGGCTGCGCTATTTGAAACTAATTTACAGCTTCATCTGGGACTATCGTCACTTTAAATTAATTAACCAAAAAGTACCAAAAAATTATATGATGGGGGGAGGAGGGAAGGAAGGAGATGGGGGAGAGTTGAAAACAGTGAGAAAGGGCTCCTAAGCTTGGCTGGATACTGCCCTTGGGTACAAAGGGCAATCTTTACTTTCCTTCCAGCCCACCTTCTGAAACTAAAACACACACATACACCATAAAAAATCCAGTGTGTTGTCTTTTGAAAGGTTTCTTTGGGAAGATAAGAACTCTGTGCTGGCTTCCACAAAGCCAAGGCAAAGCTGTTACGAGGAAGAAAGGTAGGCCCGCCACCAGCTGATGGAAACTTCTGCAGCACACGAGGAACGCTGGAGATGAAAGGATGGTGGGAGTTGTGGACATGGGGTGGGGAAGGGTAGGCTTCAGGGGAGGGCGACAGGGCAGGGAGGGGGCATTCACCTCACCGCTCCCCAGGAGCAGTTCCTTCCCCTTCTGTAGGAGAAGGTCATTCGTTCCTCTCACATTCGATAAGTCTGTATTAACCCCTTATTATGTGGCAAGCACTGTGGGGAAGGAAGAGACTTCAAAAGGCTTATAGGATTCATTAAAGTGACAACCAGCATCTGTACGGCTCCTAGAAGTCTCACACGTTCTCACTTCATCCTCACCACAGCCCCGTGAAGCACGCAGCATTATCAGTCCCTTTGATAAGGGAAAGAACCAAGGCTCAGAGAGGTCAAGAGGCTTGCCCCTGACCACACAGCTATGACGTGACAGAGCAAGAATCCAAACCGAGGTCTGTGGCGAAAACCTATGGCCGGGGATCATAAATGCAAAACAACGAGGACAGAAGGGACATTACATCTTCGGGTGCCTCCACACGAATAGGATCTGGAGTCCGCGGGCTCCTTACTTTTCTGCAGTCAAGTGTTCTGGCCCCCCTGCCATCTTGAGACTTGAGCTGGTGATGTGTCCAAACAAGGCGGCTCTTTGACCAGCTCTAGGGAGTTCTGTGCCCTCAACACCGTGTGAATCTGTTGATGACAAACCAAGCACTTCATCTCTGGGTCGATTTGACTTTTCCAAAGCTGAAACACGCAGAGTGTTTGAGCAGCAACAGATTATAATCTATCTGCTCTTCCAGGGCAACAAGTATCTGAAAGTAATTTGAGAGCCATTAACCGATGCTTGCATAATGCCTGGCTCACACCAAATACCAAAAAAAAACACTGGCTAGGATTGCTACTCCCCACATCCTCCCTCTTCCCCACCTCGAATCTCAGAGTTGGACAGACGAGACCTTAGATACAAAGGTTGGTCCTCAGTCCCACCAAAAATATGGATGGCTGTTACAGAATTAAGTAACCTACAGTAACACTTAGCACTCAGTGTATATAGTAAGGGCTGTTGCAGTACTTTAAGTGAAGGAAGTCTCAACACAGCCCTGTGAGGTTTTTGATTACCCCATTGGATGGACAGGGAATCTGAAATAAGGATGGGGGAGACATCCTTTTGCCCAAGAAATATCCAAACCCAGGCAGCTTGCCTCCCAGCAAGGCCTCTTAGCCATGATGCTATGTATCCTGCCCAAGTCCTCCCTACCATCCCGAGCAAGTGGTTATCTAGCTTTCCTTGAACACCTCTGCGATGGGGTGCTCACTACCTCCAGAAACAGCCTCTTGTTGCCTTTGAGGACAGTTCTGTTGGATAGAAATTACATCCTGATGTGGAGATGAAATTTCACTTCCTGCCATTTCTACCCATTGTTCCTGATTCTGACCAGATCCCCCCACCCCCAGAATAACTTTAAACTCTTTCCTCAAACTTCATAGGCACAGGGGACTTATTAAAATGCAGATCTGTCTCTAGAGATCTGGGGTGGGGCCTGAGGTTCTGTGTTACTCACAAGCTCCCAAGTGATGGTGACACTGCTGGTCCAAGGATCACACTTGGAGGACAGAGGTCCTAGATGAAGAGCAGGGTCCAAACCAGCCTGCCACCTGTCTCTATAAACAACATTTGACTGCAGTACATGCACGCCCATCTGTTTACATATTGTCTCCAGCTGCTTCTGTGCTACAGCAGAGTTGAGCAATTGCGACAGAAACCATAAGGCCCACAAAGCCTAAAATAGTTGGCCCTTTACATAAAAAGTGTGCCCGCCCCTGCTCTAGAGGACCACCCTGCAGACCTGGAGGAACACTGCCCTGCCCCCTTCCCAGCTCATCTCAGGCCTCAAGTCCCCTCAGCATCGTGGTGTCTAACTCCCGAGCACATTCAGGTTGGTCGGAAGCCCACTTAAAGGAGAAGAATCACCCCAAATACTGATTGGCAGGAGTGGGCGGGGACCATTCACTCCCCGTTCCTGAGGTTCTATTCTCTGTTCCCCCTCCCCTCCCACACTCTCCACTGCTCCACAGACTCTCCCTGGGCTTTCTGCTTAATAACTGATACAATTGCTGCTACCAATGTCGACTCTCCAGTGCATTAGGAATGCTGCATCCGGGCCGATGCGGATGCAGGACAGGCCTCCCCTTCCTGCGGGCAGTGGAGGGTAGCTGTGAGTGGCCAGAGATATCTGGCCATCCAGAGATGCATCTCAGAGCCAGAGGGCAGGGACCCAGGCCTGGGAGGTGACCAGGGGCCTATTCATTACCCCCAGGACCACAGCTCCCGTGACCTCAAGGCCTGTGCTCACTGCAGGGTCATCTCTGGTGACTGGGAATGGCTCAGAGGGGCCTCCTTGCAGCTCAACAAGGAAGCCTTAAAGACATGGCTCTTCTCTTAGCAAGGCAAGAACCCCTAAACAGGGCTGATTCAGGACTGAAGTAAGTTCCTGCTATACCTCACACCTGCTTTTTAAAAATGCCTTTCCTTCTCTCAGCATTGTCCAAGAGAACTTTCTGTGATGATGGAAATCTACCCGTGCAGGCCAATATAGTCACCGTTAGCGACACGTGAAATATGTCTACTATAACTGAGGAACTATATTTTAATTTTAATTAATTTAAATAGCCACACATGGCTAGTGCCTACTGTACTGGACAGTATAGTGTCCAGTTCATGTATCAAATTCATTAGAATTTTATCCCTTCAACTCTCTGGGGCCTAGTCAAAAATTTCCCTAGGGAGAAATTACATTTTGGAACCAGTAACTGGTTCCTCTGTATGAATCTGGGCACTGAGAATACTGGTTAATTTGGGGAGGCCAGAGAAAGGGGAGCTGGAGGTCACCAGGACCCAGAGAGGGAAGAGAAAGGGCAAGATCAGGCCAGTTAGAGACCAAAAAATACCCCAACTTTGGGCCCAGCTGGGACCTTGAAGGTGACCAAGTTTCTACTGACAAATGTGATACTTGATAAATGGAAGGAAGGAAGGATGAGAAGGAAAGAAGAAGAGATGGTGGACAGAGAACTGATTCATCGTGTCCTTAGCTGTCCTGGAAGCTAGTTTAAGAAATAAAATCATAGGGACTCCCCTGGTGGCACAGTGGTTAAGAATCCGCCTGCCAATGCAGGGGACATGCGTTCAAGCCCTGGTCCGGGAAGATCCCACATGCCGCGGAGCAACTAAGACTGTGGGTCACAACTACTGAGCCTGCGCTCTAGCGCCTGTGAGCCACAACTACTGAAGCCCACATGCCACAACTACTGAAGCCCATGTGCCTAGAGCCTGTGCTCTGCAACAAGAGAAGCCACTGCAATGAGAAGCCTGCTCACCTCAACGAAGAGTAGCCCCCGCTCACTGCAACTAGAGAAAGCCCGCTCGCAGCAATGAAGACCCAATGCAGCCAAAAATAAATGAATAAATAAAAAATTTTTTACAAAAGGAAAGAAATACAGTCATAACAGCTGAGACAACTGGAAAGCAACGAGGTCTTCACTTATGGCCATGCTTCTTTCTTATTTTTTTTTTTCTTTTGCGCCGTGCTGCTTGCAGGATCTTAGTCCCCAGACCAGGGATGGAACCCAGGCCATGGCGGTGAAAGTGCTGAGTCCTAACCACTGGACCACCAGGGAACTCCTCAGTGCTTCTGAATAAAACAGAAATTCCAGTGGGGGCTGAAGAAATCTTGGGAGGAGTGGGAGTCGGCTCAGGCCAGGCAACAGGTAGATTTAGTTTTGACTAAAGGAAAAGAAAAGGCACTCTGGGCAGGAGGATGACTTGAGCAGAAGGGCAAAAGCGGGCTTTGAAAGCAGCAGGGTTAAGCGGGCAACAGATCCCAGCCACCTGGGCAGGGTGACGGGCCAGCGGCAGGGAAAGGACTAAGGACGGATGGCGGCCGTGGAGCCAGACTTGGGGGCCTGGACAGTTCCAAGGCAGGAGTTTGGGCTTCCGTCGTTTTCTTGCTTTCTGAGAAAGTAGGAGGAGTGGTCCAGGGTTCCTGCAGAGGTGTCTGAAAAGGCCACAGAAGCAATGCCAAGGGTCAAGGGTGGGAAGGAGCCAGTAGCTGGGCACAGTAGGTACTGGTACCACTCATTCAGGATGCGGGCTCTAACCAGCAAATGACACCTTCTCAGAGCTGCACTGCGGTCTGAGACACTTCCTGTCCAAGCCCTGTTCCTGCCCTCTCTCCTTTCACAGGTGTCACACCCCTGCCTGCTCCTCGGCGCTCAATCCTCCACAGGTGTTTCCCCCTAGTAAACTGTTTGCGCGTCTAATTCTACCTTGGGGTCTGCTTCTCGTAGGACCTGAAATAACAGAGTAAGAGACAGAGAATCCTATTCTCTCCTGAGACTATACTCGCCTTGAAGGTTGAAGCATCCCGCTAACCAAACAGCCCCTGACAATGTCTCCGGGACATAGGAAGTGCTCAGGACACACTTACAGCATGAATATGCACGGGCCGCGGGGAAGGGGTCAGGCTACCAGAAGCTGGGGCATGGGAAAGCACGTCACACACTCTGCCCGGGCAAAGCCCAGTGACAGTGCCCAATGTCCTCCCCATCCTGTTCTCATCCCGCTCCCTTCTGGTAGTGACCCCCAAAGTTATGAGCAGTGTGAACACTCCTACATCAGAGTCCCTGGGGGAAGTGGGCCAAGCGTGCTCACATCTGAGACCCAGCCGCTTCACTTTTCTCAAATATGGGCACCAAATGTTTCAAACTTTTGATCCTGGAGCGATAACAGAACTGTGAGGAATGGGGAGAAGGGGAGGGAAACCGCAGAGAGGGGCCGAGTCCTTGGTAATGTTTTCCAGGGTTGGGGAAAGAGTGGGGGAGTAGAAAGGGCATCTGTCACCTCTAGTCCCTCCCCCGCCACAGCCTGCGTTGTTAGGAGTCAAGGCCGGCACAGGAGGCACGTCCACACACGTCATTTAGTCCCCAGGTTCACCCATTCCATCGTTTAAATCTGGGCTTTTCAACCTTGGCACTCACACCGTTTGGGGCCTCTTCATTTCTTGTTGGGGTTGGTGGGGCTGTCTTGTGCACTGTAGGGTGTTTAGCAGCATCCCTGGTCTCTCCCCACCAGGTGGCAGGACCACTCCCCACCCCCCAGCTGTGAGAGCCAAAAATGTCTCCAGATATTGCCAAATATCCCTTGAGGATCAAGATTATCCTGGTTGAGAACCACCGATTTAAATCAGCAGCAGAAATCCCACTTTGGACAGAATAAAATAAATTCGAGTCCTGTGGACTGTTTTTCTCCCCGTCAATCTCCCCACAGTAAGTGCTGTTTTCAGATCTTATCGGGTCTCTGCTAACCTGAAACTCCCAAAACGGCCCTTTCCCGACCAGGTCCAGGGGGTCCCCAGCCCCTCCCCAGACTCCGGGACCGTCTCTGTGTGTCCAGCCCCATCTTATCAAATCCCATTGGCCTGGCAGCCCAGCCGAGCCCAGCAGACAGCCACAGTGGGGCTGCCTGGCTAGAGAGTCTTCAGATTGTCTTAGTTATGTATGCCAGTGCTTTCTGGTGTGGCTCAATAATGTAGCTCTGCTTCCCCTCACTGCATTTAAAGGGAACTAATCCTAGCAGGGATTATGTTTGCTGCCCATCGCCGAACATCTCTTGATTCATTTATTCATTCAACAAA